CATGTGGTTACTGACGAAAATATGCATTAATATCCGGCAAATTTCTTTTTTCGTGTGATGAGCTCAGCCTTGCTGAAGGATTTTTCACACTGTTCACTGTGTTGATTAAATAGACTCATTGTTTTGCGGACGTCTTTGACTGTGACGCAGAACTAGTCTGGAAGAAAACATGTCTGGCATTCGCAAATCGTAGACTTGAAAGTCTTGTTTAATTAAATTTTTTGGAAATGGGGTTGGCAGTCATCATACATTCATTGACTGAAAATGAAGTTGAAAGGCAGAAGAAGACATTTGACAGAATTGTTTTCCTTCTGTTGTCTTTCATTCATTGCCAACACTGTGTGGTTAAGTAATCCACCTTTTAACTCTTGTCAGAGTCATGCAAGTGTGGTAAGGTTACAAATGAAGATGATTTTTCTTGTAAATGGTATGGCAGCCACAGTCATCAAACTAAATGATACCGCAAGATTATAAAATCAGTATCTCCTTTAAATACTCTAAGAGAATAAAGTAGACCTGTATCTTAGATATATTTTCATTTAGTAGTAGAGTAGCAGTGAAAGCTGCTACCTGTCCATGTTTCCTTATTTTACTAATTAAATTTAGAATAGAGTTATTCAAAACAGAAGAGATTAATGCTAGCCAACCATCTTACCAGTGCTGCTTACCAGGATCTAGAGGTTAGTGGCTGTTTATTTTCCTCTCTATCCTAGCATTAGCCTATCTCTTCTGCCTCCTTTTCCTGTCTCTGAAAAGCCCAGCGCTCTAGATGCATGCCCCATTCTACATGTCTCTTGCTCAGACACACTAAGGAGCCCTTATCCAGCAGCGCAATAATGCAGTCAGTGTGAGGCTGGGAATTAAATGCTTCCTGTGTCTCTTTATGGCCAGAGTTGACTCATTGCATTCCTCCCAAGGTTAATGTTTGATGGAGAAGAGATGGCGAGCCAGAGATTCACAGAGCCGCACTCTTCTCTATCTCTGGCACGGCAGGACTCCAGGGGTCCCTGGGCCAGCGCTTCATGTGGATAAGGGAGTGAATGGCCACTTGCTATCTCAAGCAGCACAGATGTACAGTTTCATCTGCGGTGGAACATTAGACAGTGAATTGAGCCGGAGTGAAATAACAGCCTTTGGAGTTGTTCTTACACTTTGTCATCGTTTTGGATCTGATAGGACTTCACTGTGTGGCCTTGCCTTTGCTGCCATTGTGGAAACAATTGAGCTGTTTTTCTCCACTGAAGCAGTCGTGACACATTTTAATTGAAATGTACTTTTTTGCTTCAGCAAATAAAGACCAGATTCACTCGATATGAGAGCCATTAAATGGAAAATAGCTCCAAAATTAGCTTAATGAAGTTGTAAGTGGACCCTTTTACTCGTTATCCAGTTTCAGTGCCCCAAAGCAGTGATCGCTACTGATACTTGGATTCAAGCCAGTCTAAACAGTATAACTTATTTTAAGAGCCAGCCAAGCTGTGATGATTTTCCTGATGCAGTAGTTTTCTAATTCCTTATTTGTGTCCTTTCTCATCCCATGATCATTTCTGTGTTTCTGTGCAAAAGCCATTTATTAATAAGTCATCATTGACGCCACTCTTTTCCTTCTGTCATACCTACAAACCTGATCATCAGTCCACCCGCAGGGACAAATCTGTGTTTCATCTGATAAATAAGGGCTTACTGTCTTTTTTGTGATGTGTATGATTTGGACTTTACTGTAATTTTCTCTAGTCCTCTACACTCTATTATTTTACTTTCATCATGAACCTTTTTATGAGCCTGTTTTGTTCTTGGACAGCTCCATGTTTTTATTCTTGGACTCTACTAGAGTAGCTTTACATGATTCAGAGCATAAAATAATTTGTATTTAATTGACGCTGAAGCTTTGCGCATCTCCTCAGATCTTACTCTCTTTGAAAGAAGCCTTTTTCCCCTCCGTCCTTTATAACTACATTCTTCTAATTTGCTGCCCTCTCACCTGGTTTTCCACCAGGTAATCAGTTGCTTTACAGCCCTGCCTCCTCCTGTTGTCCACGTCTTAGCATGAATCTGATTGGAATGATAAGAATGGACAACACAAACCCATACATGCATCAAAGGTTACAGCAGAGCATCACTGCTGAGAAAATCTTACCTGCTCACATAACGGTGTGAAATTGTGTCTATAGCTCATGTGTCTAAGCTCTGAAATGTGGACTGAAATATAAATCTTCTGCTGCCAGGGCATATTGAAGGTAACATAGCAAGTAAAATGTTATTCTGCAAGTATTTGTATATCATTTTCTGTCTCTCTTATGTGTGCTTTGGAAGATTTAGTTGAGTTATAGAGCAGCTTAGCTGAGCAGTAAATATGGCCTTTGTCTTAACTGGAACTGCAATAACAAGTCATTCAGCTGAACATCAACCCAAGACAAACACTTCAGTGACATGACGTTACTAAAGCTGGCAGTTCTCCTCAGCATCGCCCTTTATAGATTGGGCATCCTCGTCTTTGAGCTTTAGCCTAGCCAAAAATCCAGCTGTTCTCAGTTGACCTAAGACACTCTGAAGTAGCACCAGGTGAAACGTGTACACTCATCATTCTCTACACTGGCTATGCTGGATGCACATCCACCTGGATCCACCATAACAATATATGAATATGAGAAAAATAAGTAAAAGTTTAATAGTTTTTGTTTGTTTGTTTGTCCATCAACATCCATAGTGGCTCAAGGATGAGTAAAAGTTAATATTGTTGTTGTCAGTCCCGAATACATTACTATGGATGCAGCTATCGATCAATGCACATAAAACAAGCTGAATAAGGAACTGGAGACTGTGTAGATATAATGGTTAGAGTGGTATGAGGTAGAGTGGCTGCTTACCCAGCTTTCAGAAGCAAAGCACGTGTACACTATTATCACGCGACTGATCCTAGCTGAACTCCATGCTGTTTGCACTGTCACACTGAGGACAAATACTCTGAGGTGTAATTGCACTTTCACAACAGCAGGCTGGTTTTGATGAGTTCATCTACAGATGACTGTGGTGATGGAGAGATGAAGGAAATGCTCATAATAATTCGAGGCAGATTGAAGTGCTGTCATGACTCATTGTTGCAGGCAACAGTAGCTGCAGCAGCGCTACTTGCTATCCATGTGAAACTGTGATACAACCCACTCAAACTCGCACCATCCTCTGCATGTAGAGTGAAATGCAGGGAAACAAGTTAATAGCCATCCCCTTAAGATGTGAGCTTGGATGTTTTTAGAGGGAATTGTCGTCTTCTTTTTGAAGTTAAACACAGGAGCAGTCAGACTTGTGCTCCTGCTTTCCATCTTTCTTTGCAACATATCGACCTTAATGATGCTGTTCAGGTTGTGTTAATGATTTTCAACATTACTCCAGTTAATTTTGTCATCTCCTCCTAGCTCCACAGAGGCACTTAAATCCCTTCTTGTGCTTCTTGTTTTTCTTGTGATCATTTAGCAACTGAGATGGATTCTACAGCAATTTTATTATAGCAGTGAAATGGAAACGGCGGCATTCTCATCCTCTCTGTAAACAGCACAGCTTTTACACACTTTAGCAGCTTTTAAGAGTCATTTGCCCGGCTTGCTGTAACCTCATAATGTCCGATGGACTGTGTCTGTTTGGTTTATCTTTTATTTGGCTCCTGTGACTATATTTAGTGGAAGGCATATTTATAAGGATGTAATACACGCTTAACCAAAACGGGAATCTTTAAGCTGGGAAGAACGCATACTTTTTTTTTCTTTTCTTTTTTTTTTCAAGTGAAAATGTATGCTAATGTGCGTTTTTCTTTGATCTAGACACACATAGCATTATTACAGAACAAAACCAGAAGGAAACGTCTGCTAATTTGGCTAAAACTTGGAGGCGATACTGTAATTCTCTACAGGATCTGTGACTTTTTACAGCCTTTTTCCTGTGTTTAAAATGATTTTCATTCTCCAGCCTCACAATAATTGAGTTTGTTAAAACCACATAAAAACAGAGGGGCTATCTAATAATAAAAGACTAGAGACCATCTTGTGATGGAATTACTTGAGCAGCAATCTCAATGAGTTCTCTGAATTAATCACCTAATTGTCTTCAAAAATATTGTGTATGCCAGATGAAGACACATCAGGCTTGGGTCATCAAATCATCAGACTGAGGCTGGATTGTATTTTACCTTGAATTTCTTCTTAAATAAACCTCTGTGTTGTTTTGTGCCTGTATCTTGCGTGGTTTAAAGACTTTGCCCACAGACGGACACATAAACACCTGCCAAAGTCCTCTGAGATTCCTGCTAATGTCGGTGTCACCAGGAAAATATTTGTCATGAGGACGTGCATGTTGGACTCAAAAGGTGAAAACCAGCCATACCAGCTTTGCTTCAATGGATGAAAAGGCATAATAAGGTTCATAAAATACAACCATATAGAGTAATTTTACCTCTCTTGATAATTCTTTTTCCTTTTAAAAATTTCTTTACACAGCAAAACACTTCACACTGGATTGTGTTTTTAGTGCCCTTGCTGCAGCTCATGTACTGTATGCTACACCGTGAGTTTGTATGCTACACCGCTGTCATTGCGAGTGTGTATGTGTGCACACATGGCCGCACGCGTGTGGTACCCGGCAATGTAATGTAACGCTGACTCAGACCGAGTGCGTCAACAGCTGTTGCCTGTTAGTGAAGAGAGACAGTGGCGTGGAGAGGGAGGGGGACGGTTGCCGCGTGGGGGGAGTGAGGAGGTTAGATTAAAATAGAATAGTACAGATAGGCTTTGTATTTCCCATCATGCCACACACATTGATTTGACATCATCCTATTTTAGTCTTGACAAAAGAAGTTGTTTTTCAGATGTGAGGCAACATCTGAAAATCTCTTTGACGTCGTTAACTAATATCTAAGATGGCAAAACCTCTGAGACGTCAGCTCTATTTATAAAAGCAACCACTGTGACTCTCTCAGCTCTTTACTGACAGTCCTATTTTTGTGTTTTCAGGCCCAAATCGCCTTCCTGCAGGGGGAAAGGAAAGGCCAGGAGAACTTGAAGAAAGACCTTGTCAGAAGGATCAAAATGCTCGAGTATGCGCTGAAGCAAGAGAGGTGAGTGCCCTACCACCCACTGCTTCTGCAGCCCACCCACAGCACACACATACCTCAGCAAGTCTCCAACAAATGCAGTGTTTTCAGGTTTTATAATAAAAAAAATTTAAAAAAAGGTTCCTGCCACTGAGACTGTTTTAAGGGGTACCGTAGCTGTGTCAGATTCTCACTAGTCAACAAAGCATCACGTTGGATTTGTTGATAAAGATTCGAACCGCTGTGTTTCAGCCATATGCCGTGTCGCCTGCTCAGCCACGGAGCTAAACTGATGCTTAAAGAGTAGTGGGCTTTCTTTGCCCCCCCCCCCAATTTCCTTATTTTCTCTGTCCCAGTCTGATGTCTCAGCTGGTGTCAGCAGAAGCAGAGTGCTAGAGAGATTCCCCCGAGTCCAGCTGGTGTTATGTCTCCAGTTGAGAGCAAGTGTTGGCATGAACGCTTTGTATGCTGTCAGATGCTCATGGCTGCACGGTCCCCAGCAGGAGGACAGAATTGGAAGGAGTAGGAGTCCTCTCTCTACCAAAGGCGAGGTCACCGTTGGCACGTTCTTTCTAAGACGAAAGGGCGATGCAGTAGTAGTGGTGGTGACAACACTTTGCATTTCCCTTTCTCTTTGAAGCATGGCTGCACACTGGAACAGAGATGTCAGTGATGTCTACACATCTCTATTAAAGTGTCTCTAAGCCACCGAGCACATTACCCCAGCGGGGCTTGAAGAATTAACAGTCTTTAAACTGATAAAATAGGCCTCTGGATTTTTGTAAGTGTGATTTAGTGCATTCTATATGTAGCCAGGCACTCGGATCACTGTCTCAGCAACCACACAGGATGTATGTAACTGCTCTGTGGCTGACAGTCGAAGGCTCTGATTGTGTTTGAAGCCTGTGAGCTGAAGAAGCATTGCTGAACCAAGACAGTGAGCAGAGTCCTCCCTGGATAAGTAAAGGTTAAACACAAGAAAGTGAAAACTGGGGTAGGTAACAAATGAAATGGCTGGCTGCAGGTATCATAATTAGATCTGGGAGCAGGGAGATTGTGTAGGCTAATGAGGGCCTTAACACAACTGAGTTAGACAGGTGTCAGAATGGGTTAGCACTTTCTCGTTCCTCCGGTCAGCTCAGAGGTTAGTTATATTTTGCCTCCATGCGCTCTGCGAGGAGCATCGTTCTGGGTGTGAGCGTCAGATCTTCTTCTGGCTGTTTGCAGCATGTATTTGTCTACTTTTCTCCAGTGAGATCACTACAGACGTTGCCTCTGGAGCAACACTTAACCCAGAATTACTACCACTATGCCTGGTTGCTAAGCAACCGGTCATGTCTCCGAGGGTATCTCAAAGCAATATCAGGAATGGCTTTCTGAATGTAGGATGTACCCAATTTAAAATGAATTAGATTTTGATGGGGGTTGCTTCACACCGCTCTCATGTGATGGTTCCTCTGCATCACAGACATGAGTGGTTAGAAAGCTCTCCTTGTGTCGACTCTTTACCACTGTTGTGGATGCGTGTGAAGCCACTGGAAGAAACTTCACGTCATTATTGCGAAAGCTGAATCACCTGAAACTGTGATGTCATCACTGTATGTGTAAACTGCATTAATGTTTATCCGTTTTGAACAGCAACTGGAAATGTCAAACAAATTAAATAAAATTTCAGCGACTGTAACCTAAAGGCTTGTAGAGTAAAAGGTTATTATGTCAGTTGGCATATATTATCCCCCACAGCTGAAAAAAACATTAGTCACTTAATTGTTTGTTAACAGAAAACTGATTAAGTTGTCTTTTTTGGTAAAAAAAAAAAAAGACACACAGATTTACTAGTTTCAGCTGCTCAAATGTGAATATTTACCTGTTTCCTTATTTTTCTCTAAACATTCAAATAATTTAATTTGAATATGTTCACTCGTATACAGGAGACTACGATGAGCCGATAAATGCTGGAAATTCGAGTTCAAAGCAGTCCTGTTTTATATACTGTCAGAAATATGCTATTTAATGATTCGGTACACGCTGTCTTACGTTCCTATTAGAAGTGTGCCTCTTGTTTAAGCTAACCGGTCTGTGAGAAGTAGAACAAGTTGCAGCTGGGCCGACTTTGGGAGCTTATTATGCAAATATTGTGCATAATGAGTTTTTTAAATAGCTTTTTTGGGCCGTTTCTGATCAATCCTGTTTACTTATTTGCCTCTGTCCCCCTTTTTTCTTCTTTCTCTCTTTTACTCCCAGAGCCAAGTACCACAAGTTAAAATATGGGACAGAGTTAAACCAAGGTGACATGAAGCCTCCAAGCTACGACTCGGGTAAGTCCATGGAGACCCAAACGGCCAGCTCCACCTCCTCACACTAAATCACTGTGATTGTTGAGTTCACATACCTCTGGTGACAGGATGGTTACGCATGCGAAGCTCCTGCGATCGTGTTGAATCTTGTTTGTCTCGATAGATCTGTTCAGAAGTTCCTGAATAGTGAAAGATTAGGTTTCGTTGCCATAGTACAAATATTTCATTCTAGAGCATTTAGAGGTTTTTCATAGAAACCAGTCCCTGAGAAATGGTTAGGATTATTCAGGGTGACAGTGACATTGTTTCTGGAAAACCGATTTCTAGAAACAATGTAATTGGAGCTGAAACAGTAAATCAGTAATGAGTTTTCAAACAGCACAAGTATTACCTTGCCGTAGCCTCACAACTGCGAGAATGTGCTCCTTTTCCTGTTAACTTATTTGTTAATCTGCTTGGTAAGCTGTAATGAAAATGACTGCTTTTCTTTAATGCTGTGAGAACAACAATCAAAACAGAAACAGTCCACACAATGAAAGCTACTAGTGTTGAAGTGAGGGGTGCAACTCCCTCTCAGCTCAACATAGATAAGAAGTCCTTAAGAGCGTAGAAATGTGAAAATGTAGCCATTTCTAGTTCAACCTGCTGATGGAAAGCAGCTACACAGTTGTTGGAAAATGAGCTCGATGCTTGGGAATGTACATCCAAGAATTCTGGGAAATGCAACCAAATCTCTTTGCATGGCTAAAACCAAGTTAGAAGAATTCGCACAAATTAATCTTTGATGCTGGGCATCAGTTCTCCATCTCTAGCGTGTTTTCCTTTACCTTATTTAACAGCAGCATCACTCTGAAATCTGCATGCTACCTGTTTCTTGTTATATTATTATAGTTTAATTGGCCTCTCATGTTTGGGTCCACTGCCATCGTTAAGTCAGATTGGGATATTTCCTCTCCTCTCCTCATCTCTATTCATCAGAGCTCTTCAAAGCACCCGAGCCCTTGAAGTGTTGATGAATGAGAGGAGGTGAAGGGGAGAGGTGTTGGTTGATGGGGGCGGGTGGGGGGAGTGAGAGACGAGAAGTGGGAGGTGTTGCTGGTGTGGTGGCACACCTGCCCGCTCATCACCCTCTTGAATTAGGCATGACCCAGTTTTTAAGGCACTCTCATCTCTCTGCCCTGCCAATTCCACCCTGCAACGCACATAAATACGCACACTCTCCCACCCAGTCTAAACCTCATTAACGCGTCTCTGTGCTCCATGCAAAATTCCCAGCTGACTCTCCAACGGACTGTTGACTTAAAGTATCAAAGTGAGCTTTGAAAACCTTCATTGTTTGTCATAGAAAGACAGAGCGTGTCGGGCTGGATGCTGGAAGCACCAGCACACGTTGTTGATCTTTCTAGTATGTCATGAGACGGGTGGGGCAGAGACGAGTCGTTTCAGCGGCGTTAGAATTCATCACACGACATCAAATGTTTTTGCTTTAACGTCACGGAAAAAGCTGGTGACAGTGAGTTTTTGAAAATCCACTTTAAAGTCAAAGCAGCATCAAAATCCAGTTTGTCAAATGAACAAAAATTTTTAAGGGATGTAAATATTTTTGTTTAAAGCTGTTTTGTTTTGTTTGTTTTTTAAGTGAGTTTATTAATAAATCAACTAGTTTTCACTGGAACGATTCAAAGAGAAACCATACTCTTTTCTCTATAAGTGTGTTTAACCTTTTATAGGCTGAAAGAAACTGAGTACACGAGTGTATGGTTGCTGGGATTTAGGAATGTCTCGGTCGTGTTTACAGAGTGGAAATAATGTCTGTTTGCGCTGCCCTGATTTGTGTCCTCCTCGTCTCTCTCCAGACGAGGCCAATGAGAACGAGACTTCTGGATCGCTCAACAATCAGCTGTCCTGGAAACAAGGCCGTCAGCTCCTCAGACAGTGAGTGCACGCGCTTTTAAACCTCGATCAAAAAAATGGTCTTCAACCCAGAAACCTACTAAACTCGCTAAAATTAACTGCACTGAAATCGACGTCTTCTGTTGAGAACTGAAATGTCCAAATCACTGGAATGGTGTGCTTCCAAGCTTATTAATTGCTTAATCATTGCTGGAGGCAATTTTTTTTCCCTAGCAGTTGCACATTGCAAATCAGTTACGTCAAACTCATGACAGCCTTTCCCTGAGTCACATGCACACCTTTTTTCTGCTGTTTCTTCACTGTGTTCAAACTCAGAACCGAGAAAACTGAAAACCTTTTGTAGAAACACGTAGAATGGGCCCAATAAGCAGAAAGCATTGGTTTGAATCAAGTCTAATCAATTTCCAACCTCTACTTACATTTCTCTGAGATATTTGTCCCTTGTGTCAGTCTACTTACTATGGGCCAAAAAAGAAAGTGTGGGAAAGGGCTCCCTCACATGGCCAGCAGCCATCATTACCTGCTCCGTGTGTTTCCTTTCCTCTGGTGCACCCAGCACACTCAAGAGTGTGGTTATCCTATCATCCTGCTCTCTAGTCTGTCATTGTAAATAAACCAGACACCATCAGGCAGCCTCACACATCATCTGCCCCAACATGCCGCCTGATGATGCAGCCAATTTATTCACGAGTTCGTGTCATGGGACAGATCAATAATGTGCTAAAACACCCCTCCCTTTCATTCAGTCGCCCGCTCAAATTGCTAAAGCTTCTTCTGCGTCCCCACAGGGCAGGTGTAATATCTGATGAGTAGCTTGTCGTGGTGAGACTGTTGACTGTTAGAGACATTTTTAACAGCGAGAAGTGCTTTTGTGTCTTTCATGGTGAGGTCAAGACAGTAAAAGTAACGCAGCCGGGTTAATTTATCTTTCTTTGCGTCACTGCAGGACTTTACTGCTGCACAAATATTACTTAAAAACTTGGGGGAAACCATATGCATCCATATTTAAATCCTCTTACTTTGTTCCAGGTACCTACAGGAGGTGGGCTACACAGACACCATCTTAGATGTAAAGTCCCAGCGAGTCCGAGCACTGCTAGGACTAGCCGGGGATGGAGCTGGAAGGACAGGTGAACGCACGAGCACCGAGCCTTTGGTCAACGGGACAGACGCAACAACAAAGGGCACCAGAGGGTGAGCATACACCCTTTAAGGGTGTCTATACACTCCTTGTATATCACAGAATGACTGAAAATGAAAGTCAAATAAAGCTGATATAATGGAATTGAAAGGCTTGCTTTAAAAGCATAGTTAGTGCAGCTGTTTGTTTAATGCATGAATCATTCTCACTCAACAGGAAAACGGAGCTCTCTGACACCAGCGCTGTACTGGAAGCCTTCAAGTTCATTGAGAATGCAGCTGCTGAGTTCAGCGATGAAGACGAGGAAGAGGAGAGCGAGGGGAAAGACAGGACTAACGTGGAATCGAGGACGGTAAGAAACCAGTCGACCTTCCCACCTTCTGTTCTCACGTGTTTTTGCAGAAGTTGTTACTATACTATTAACAATGGCCGGCAATGATTTCCCTGCAGATCATCAGGAAGAAGCCTGCATCGTCTACGTCGCCCGCCAGTATGGACACCACTGAGGACCCTGACACAGAGGAAGTGATGAAGGGCTTCGACTTCCTGTCTAGTCCTGACGAGATGGACACCTCGCCAGAGACTAGAGGCACCGGGGACGGCACAGACTGGGGTGAGTCACACGTTAATCACCAACAGATCAGAGTTTGGAGTGGATGACACTATTAGCCAGACACTAGATACAATTAGAGCAGTTATGATATCAAAATGTTTCCTTTTTGTATTATCTGTGAGTAAACGTAAAGATCTTGTTTTCAGTTTGGTGACCGTTCATGGAGTACTTGTCATTCACATATCATGCTGTGGTCATTAGTCATGATGTTGGGAGTTTATGTTTAATCATAGTTTCTTATCCTTTCCGCCGTGTGTTCCCATAGCCAGCCAACCTGTGACCACAATGTGCATCCCACTCCTGTTTGTGTGTTCCCGGTGTATCTCACTGATCAAAAAAAATGGGCTTAATGTCATGCTGAGGTGTTTTCTTTGACTCTGACCACAGATCTTAGTGTTGAGTCATCTGTAAATCTAAAGTCAGTACACTAGACTATGCATGGGATGATTTTTCTGGTCAGATTTAGCACTGAGAACCCGCCACATGACATTAACAACCCTGCCATTACTTTTACATAGACTGGAAAAGAAATCGTGAGCAGATTAAAAGAGATGCCTAAAAATGCTGCTCCCAGTTATGTAATGTCAAAGGTGCTCACCTCAGACCTTCTGCTCTCCTGAGGGAAGCCTCCAGGAGAGCATGAGCCTTGGCCCTGCGAGGCAAATCGGGCCTCGACCAGGCCAGTTCCTCAACAGCCTCTCGGTCTGGTTTTGTTCTCCCTGTGTAGAAAAGGACGAGCAGGTTCCCATTTCTGAGGCCTGGGACGTGGACCCGGGCCTGATAACCAAACTCAAGGAGCAGTACAAAAAGGAGCGCAAGGGGAAAAAGGGGGTGAAGAGTAAGTCCTGTCGGGCGATGCTGCCTCCCTCCCTCTCCTCTCTTTGTAGAGCCTGACTTTTCCTGAGCTAAGCCAAAAAGCCTAAAATCAAAAACAAAATTTCATTTCCGTCTCTGGCTGCTCCTCAGTTTCATTTATCTTTTTGTCTCTCGTCTTCCTCGTCTTTTCAAACTGATGTCTCTTCTGTCTTCTGGTGATCATTTTCCTGTCCAAACTCATTGTTATGCTCAATGCATGTTTATCCCATTTAAGCATTTTTTTCTATTTTTTTTTTTTTACTGTATAGCCGTATTCATCTTCTCCTCTACACTGTCAAATATAAGATTAATGAGTTAGCCGTGACGATAGGTCCATCTGTGTCCCATCTGGGCCAGCAATAGTATCCTCAGTCATCTGTTTCTGTATCTTCTCCAATCATAATAACATAATCCTCACCATCTTTACCCTCATCTGTCAGCCATGTTTATGCAACAGTAACGAGTAATTTTGCCGCTACCATAAATTGATGGCAATTAAACGCTATTTTTTTCAGCGACTCAGTGAAGTGACTCAGCTGAATACTACAGCTCTCATAATGGCAGCCCACTTCAGACCCATTCAGCCACTGAGAGCTCTTAGATTTCACATTTGTTTTGAGACCCACGCTCTGCTTTCCTGCTGTTGTGATTGAATCATGAGATCAACAACAAGTTTGCTTCACTTTCTTCTGCTCTTGACTGTAACACCACTTTACACAGTTGGCTTTTTTTCCTGCTCTGTGTTGGAGCTTTATCACTTTGGTGCCTGTGTGGAGGAGATCATCTGGCACTTTAAGAAGTAGTTTGACATTTGGGGGGGGAGAAATATTTCTACTGGGCTGAGAATTCAATTGTACGATCAATATACTCTGTTATCCATCTGTTGGCTATAAGCAGCATAACAGCTGCCCTTCCTCTAAGGTAATGTAAGGAAACCGAGCTACATCCACCTCTGAAGCTAATTAGTCTGTTATGTTTTGTTAGTTTGACCCATTCAGAGACCATTATATGAAAACAGCAGGTAAGAGTCAACAGAGCTTTCCTCCCATTGGCAATCTTTTTAATATAAACAGATATCTGCATATTCATTATTGACCATCTGGTTTGAGCAGGCTCCGGTTGCTCGCAGAACATGTGTTGAAACAAAAGAGGGATTACATTTAGCTCTAGCTGTTAATTGCCTTTTTGTTTATTCCAGAAACCCTGAAAAATGGGCTCAATTCCCAAATGAATAGACAAGCCCATGGCCTGCTGAAACCTCATATATACAATGTATAACATATTTTACACCCAGTATAAAGGCAAATTGATTAGAAGATAAAGTCCACTTCCATGTTTGCGTGTCGTACACATCCCCAGGGACTACCTCAAGTCTCTGCAGGTTCCCTGGCAGCTGCTCTGAGCTCAACTATTTCCCTTCTTTCCAGACTGTATGCTAAGCTAAGCTGATGCCTGCAGTCTTGCTTTCTGTCACAAGGAGACTTTTAAAAACAGTCAAACGACTTACTTGAACAATCCGGTTTAATTCTGTTAGGAAATGCATGCAGCCCTGTAGTCCTGCACAGTAAACACTACATATACATTTATATATTCATTTATCACGCCTCAAAACGCAGCTCTATCTGAAGTTAGCCTCTCCACACAGCACACCCTTTGGTGATGAATGCGCCTCAGCAACTTCTCTTTTTCTCATTTTACGAGGTTTTTTCTGGTGGCTTCTCTTCATTTTCCTTCCTTTACAATCAGTTTATAATTTATTTTCTTGCCTTTTTAATGCTGCCTTCCTTCCATCTTTATCTGCATTCTTTCTTTCAGCCTGTAGTTGCAGCTTTTTGACAAAATATTTTTATGTGTGTGTTTTTTGTTTTAACTCTTAACCTGACTTGCTAAACAGGACCCAACCGATCCAAGCTGCAGGACATGCTGGCTAACCTTCGAGATGCAGAGGACTTATCCCACATCCAGCCTGCACCCGCCCCTCAATCCCGGCCCAACGTACCCCGATTCAACGAGCACGATGCAAACCGAACGGATGAAGGTACTCCAGAAAAAATACCAGCAGGATGTAGAAGTCAAACAATAGATCAGATAAAATTGCCCACAAAGTTATCGGGGTTGCATGTTTATTTAATTGTTTGTTCTTTTCCCAGTTGAGTCGCTGACCTTCCCGCCCACCTCAGGGAAGTCTTTCATAATGAGCACGGACGAGGCCATGGAGAGTGAGCTGGGCCTGGGGGAGCTGGCTGGACTCACTGTGGCCAACGAGGCAGACAGTCTCGCCTACGATGTGAGTAGGAAAACACAGAAATCATTCAAAGACTCACAGGACCACTTCTTCAGAGAAAACTACTTCCTTATGTTAGCTTATGTGGCATCCTGCTTTCTTTCTCTGATCTCAACAACATTGTCTAAGTCACAGGGGAAAAACACATCAAAAAGCTGTTTTTATAAACTGTTGCCAACAAAATGTAATAAAGATAAAAGATCTTTTTAGATCACATTTACTGCAATAATATAAGTCACGTGGCTCCAAAAGTTTTTGGTTTTTTTGTTGTGTTAAGATGGGCTGATGTTTATTTTATGCAAAAAAAGGATGTTTATCAAAGTACTGAAAAATTAACAAAGATGTTGTTAAGTTATTTTCATGACAGGCAGTAAATGGTGACAGTTATGCTGCCTTTGAGGGTTTTTTTTTAATCATACTACTTTTTTTTATTATATATAAATCTATGAAACTGTTACTTTATGCTGCTAATAAATAAACAAAATCCTTCACATCCCACTGTGGCTCTGCTCTGAGCTGCTGCTTATACTTTATGAAGCTGTTCATTCTGCTGATTGGATGCTGAGTTCTGCCGTCTTCTCTTCAGATTGGAAACAACAAAGACGCCATGAGAAAAACATGGAACCCCAAATTCACTCTGAGGAGTCATTTTGATGGGATTCGGGCTCTGACCTTCCACCCCGTGGAGCCCGTCCTGATCACCGCTTCAGAAGACCACACGCTCAAGATGTGGAACCTCCAAAAGACCGCTCCTGCCAAAAAGTACGAATGCCTTTACTCAGACATCACCTCATCCTTTGTTTTTGTTTTTTAATAATTAAACGCACAGACGCTCTGAGCTCAGCGTGTCGTGCTGCAGAAGCTCGTCTGTTTGACTGGAAGCCCGTAAGGAGTGAGCTTGTCTCTGTTGCCGTGCCGTCACATGATACAGTCACAGGAAACCGATCCCATGTGTGACAAAGAGCTGACGACACTGCTTCCCAAGACTTGTTATTGCCGTGTCACAACTCTGCAGCCCACACACAGTCTGGTCGTGATTTGGATTTTAGGAAGCTGAAGTCATTTTTAAGGGGAACAGTTACTGTGAATAAGACAATTAAACAGTGTGACGGACGTCAGCTCAGTGGTGCAACGGCACATTAAAGCATTTAATCAAGTCTTTGACATTTATTCTCTGCTGGTTAGTTCTGTATGTCATAATAAAATGCAAATTGTTTGTCTGCAGAAGTACGTCCTTAGATGTGGAACCGATCTACACTTTCAGGGCTCACAGGTAAAAAAAAACAACAAAAACAAAACACGGCATGAATAAAACTTTGTGTTAGTGCTGGTTTAATAGATGATTTAAACCACAGGGGTGCTGTACTGAGTGTGGCGATGAGCAGTACAGGGGAGCAGTGTTTCAGCGGCGGTGTCGACGGGACTATTCAGTGCTGGAACACCCCCAATCCCAACATCGACCCCTACGACTCATACGGTAACAGCCTCGTGGGTTTTGTTGTAATTTGAGGGTTTTCTAATCAGATCACGATGTCTGAATGGAGTTCTTCTTCATTATTTCTCTCACAGATCCATCTGTGCTGCGAGGAGCCCTGAGCGGACACACGGACTCTGTTTGGGGTTTGGTGTACAGCAGCGCACACCAGCGCCTTCTCTCCTGCTCCGCGGATGGGACGGTGAGACTGTGGGACGCCAACACCACCTCACCTGCCCTCGCAGTATTCAACGAAAACAAAAGTACTGACTTTACTCGTCTTGCTTATCCTCGTTTTTCAACATTTTGTCAACTGAGCAGGTAAAATAAATTGTTTGTTTTTTTCCTGTACCAGAGCTGGGAATTCCCTCCTCGGTAGATCTGGTGTGCAGTGATCCAGCTCATCTGGTCACATCTTTCACAAACGGGCAAATCGGCCTCTTCAACATGGAGACCCGTCAGCTGGTTCTCAGTCTGGAGTCCAATTTGGAGCCAGGTAGGTTTGGAGCTGTTGGTCACTAACACACCAACACTAGCACAGTGTGATAGCGGTGGAGGAAAAACCTTAAAAGCTTATCACCAGTAAAAGTTTTCAGGGGTTGAAGCTATTTTTGAAGACATGTTAAGGCCATAATAAAGGGTCTTTACTAACATCTAGTGGTGGCTGAAGGAAATAAAACGCTGCTGTTGCTTGTTGTCCAAACTAGTTTAATTTTAGAAAGATCTGGAGATAGATGTTAATGTTTAGTATTTGTAATATGTGTTTTACAACACTAAATATGCATTTCAGCATCAAAAAAAAACTTATGAGAGGTCTACAAAACTAAACTTGTATTGTACATGTGCATTTAAATCCATAATTTATATTTATGCCAAGAACCCTGATTTGTAAATTTTTGAAAAGAGATTTTTTTTTTCCCCCTGACCGATCATCCCTTTAGTTATTCTGCTGTCTCATAGCTGCTGTTTTAAAGTCCATTGTGCTCATCTGTTTTCAACAGGCACTCCCTCTCACATCAACAAGGTCCTCAGCCATCCCACTCTACCCATCACCATCACTGCGCAGGAGGACAGACACATCAAGTTCTTTGACAACAACAGTGGGAAGCTGATTCACTCCATGGTGGCCCATCTGGATGCTGTCACCAGCTTAGCAGTGGACCCTAATGGACTTTATCTTATGTCAGGCAGTAAGTACCTTATGAATCTCCCTATCCTAGATTTAATTTACCAAAACTAACATTTTCTGGTTTATTAGGTGGATTCGCCCAACAGTGTGTCGGCTGAATTTACTTGGAAACATTTTACATGCGTCTGAAGTTAGAAGAAAATATACAGTGTTTAGAATTCTCAAAATATTCACCAAATTTCCCCTTGTGGGACAATTAAAGGATTATTCTATATAACACTGTTATGGGTTACTTATAACAGTGTTCATAAATAGGGATGGGTATCGTTTACGTTTTATCCGATACCAGTACCAAACCGGTACTTTTGAAACGGTGCTCGAACCGGTGCTTAAAGAATGGAGAACACAGAACGTAAATTACACACGAACAACATTAAGCTACTCACGCAGAGAAGAACAGCTGCTGCTGCCATCATCATCCGTCATCATTTCTGCTACACTGGCAGGGCTAGGGGCCAGGACTCTAGTCTTCGGGTTCTTGGGGGATGTTGCTAACTCCGGGTCCGATAACAGGCACCCACACCCGCAGTAGATGTGGTGTGAGGTCTTGCAGCAAGCTATCAAATACGGTGCATTTCTCGGCTTTTAAAAAAACTCAATGCGTCGCCAGGTGTTTCATCAGATTCGAGGTGTTACCTCCTTTGCACAGTATCACCTTAAAGCACTTGTTGCTGCTGAGTTTGCATCTTTTGCTGTGAAGTACAGCCAGGGCATTTTTAATCTGTAGCTCTGCTCTAAAAGAACATACGTACCTGGGCCCGCCTACTACGTTTGCAAAGGTAAAATGATTGGCTAGAATCCAAAGTGTATGACATCTCAGTAGGTCTGGTTACTACCGTTACTACCGTGCCATAATGGCACCAGATACTGGTACCCATCCCTATTCATAAAGCTGTTCATACTCGCGCAAATTCACTTCTGCAACTCTTCTCACTCGTCATCTTCTCCGCAGGTCACGACTGCTCTATCCGTCTGTGGAACCTGGAGAGTAAAACCTGCATCCAGGAGTTCACGGCTCACAGAAAGAAGTTTGAGGAATCGATCTACGATGTGGCGTTCCATCCGTCAAAATGCTACATTGCTAGTGCTGGAGCAGACGCTCTCGCCAAGGTGTTTGTATGACGCGGAGCTGCGTCTCCCCCCACAGCCCCGCTCTCTGACTCATCTTCCCGTGATCAGGGACCAATGGCGACACAGCAGAGGAAGGACCTTCAGGCAGGGATCCAATCCCACCTCACCCAGCCCACTGGTCTCCTGTCGGACTTGCAGACTATGTAGCCACTAGCAGGGCTGTGACTGTCCATAGAAAGGGTCAGCAGGGAGGCCAGTCGGGAGGGGAACTGCCCTTCTGGTCCCCCGTCTACCATCCAGGCAGGCCTGGGTGTGACCGGCCACAGCGCCCCTGCATACAGACTCAAATTTAACCTCGAAAGCTCGGAGGCTCAGGACAAGTGTTAGAGCGTGAAGTGGAGAAATGAAGTCTCAAGCCCCGTCTTCTTCTTCTGCCCGTGTGGTTTCACGCTCACCCCGGATCCCTCAGGCCCTCGACCTTCCCTCTGAGACAAAACCAGGTCCGGGCCCTTTACTCCAAGTCAGGTTTTGTGTTGTTGTGTTCCAGAAACGTGGGGTACCGAAGGTCCGCTGGAGCTGTCACGGAAGCCTCTCACTTCCTCTTTGTCTGCTTCCCAGACTGACTCTGCTTGCTGGCCTGCCTTTATTTTCCTTTTTAAAAACACGTATTGACAAATGTGCCTTTGCTTTAAAAAGGTCTTGAAAACGTTATTTTAACAAGCTTGTTTTCGGGGAACAGGGAGGGAGGGGGGTGGCGGCGAATCGGAGCTGGTTGTCACAAAGTTGTTGATTTTAACATTGGATGTAAAATTACAAATGCTTATAATAAACAAAATATATATTCAGTCTTAAAATTTACTGTGCAGCGTGAGTTTGAGTGCTCCTTTTTGATAAGTGTGGTTGGGGAATCAGTTTTGTGCATTTCAAAGCTGGTAGAGTGATAAAAACCATTAATTATATTGCCTGTTTGTTAGATTCAAGTAATTGTACACTTCAGAAGTAAGATTACCAACATATGTGTCCAAAGTAAACCATCTTGGTTATATAATTACAATTCAAACTTGGTTCTAGATGTCAACGTTAGGCATAATTAACTGATTTTTGGCCAGTTTGCTCATGTTTGAAGTGAATGGCTTGTACTGTATGTAATTTTCCCCAGTCGTGTGGACATGCTGAACTACAATGTGATGTATCATGTCCAGATATTTACAGTAGTCCAGTGTTTAGCAGGAAATTAGTGCAGTACTTTAGGACTATTTGAAATGAGTTGACCATCCGACACCAAGGGAAGAGAAATGTCCTGCAATTCCAGTTTACTGTAAACTGAGGAGGGTAATAAGAGAAGTTACGATGTTGTACGAGTAGAGTACAGCTTCAAATGAGCCATTTTCTCAGTCACTGGTTTGTATATGAAAGTATGTTCAAAATAAAACCTGCTGTAAAATGTTAATTTGGCTGAGGCTGGTCTTTTTGCAGACTTTTTTTTTTCTCTCCCCCGAGCCATCCAAGACAGCTTCCATGGACCCACAGTTATCCTGTGGGCTTCAACTTGAGCCTCAATTTTTACTTTGCCCACCCCTGGTATAGTATAATCTCAGTCCACGAGGGCCGGTGTCCCTGCAGGTTTTAGATCTCACACCTGAATCACATGATTAGTTCGTTACCAGGCCTCTGGAGAACTTCAGGACATGTTGAGGAGCTAATTTAGCCATTTAAATCAGCTGTGTTGGTTTGAGGACACATCTAAAACCTGCAGGGACACCGGCCCTCGTGGACTGAGATTGCCCACCCCTGTACTATACGGTTTTATTTAAAGCAGGCTTGGATTTCTTTTGTACTGAAGGAAAAACCTACTCAAGCAGTTTAATGGCCTCACATTAAACTCTAGCATACTTGGGTATATAGAGGAGCTCCTAATTGACTCTTTGACTACAAGGTGCTCTGGTCCTGTACCTGCAACAACCACAGTTCATCACCCCTCCACAGTGCTTGACACTTGGTGTGAAGTGCTGATTGAGATTTTTACCAACTGTGTTTTTTGGTTGACTCTGCAGAATTTTGAAAGGCCAAGCTGCCACATTCTTTTCAGAAGAGAAGAGGCTTGCTCCTGGCAACCCTTACAAACAACCAATACTTGCCCTGCTGTTTTCTAATCGTACTGTCAGGAACGCTAACATTTAACACGCTAACTGAGGCCTGTAGAGCCTGACATAAAGCTTCTTTGGCAGTTTCTCTCTCTGACCCTGGGGTGAATTTGTTGAGACATCCAATTCTGGGAAGATTGACAGCTTTACACAACATGCCTCATTCACACCCACTCATGCGAACACTTTTTTTCCTTACACCTAAGTGTTTTCTATCTAGCAGTCACACACATTCACGGTATGATGAATGGATTGGAGAGCAATTTTGGATACTGTGGCATGCAAACGAGAGCACGCAGGGATCGAACCACCAAACTTCTAATTAGCAGATAACCTGCGCTGCTTCTTGAGCCACAGCCATCCCGTGTTTTCGACTTGTGAATAGCTTTTCTTACTGTAGAATGATTAACTAGAAATTTCTTAGGAAAGGCCTATAATATATTCCCATCAATCTGGGATATATTAAATCCCAGGTTGGGCAACAATTGCTTCTTTAAACTAATTTCTGATGTCGTTCCTATTGTGGCACTGTGTGCACATCTGAATGCTCCAGACCAGCAAACTACCCAAACCTCTGCTTTCACAGAGATGCTCACACTTGCTGATGACCGTTTGATTAGCAGCACCTACTTCTCCTTTTAATTCCTGTAGAAGGAGCAGGAGTGCACTTAATTTTTTTTCCAACAGTACGTCTGTATTTTGACAAAATAAATAATGGCATAGAATAATATGTCCTGTTCTGTAATTCATCTGAGGTTTATTTAAACAATTTTCAGATTTTCTGAGGATCAGATGACTTATTATGTCCGTGACAAAACCTCAGAGGTTCTTTTTCACTATGACTTCATGAGGTTTGTTTTCAATGAATAAAAACTGAAAGCAGTCTGAAAAGTGAAGTTTTAACACACTGCAATAAAAAGGCACTTTAGGTTCTCTTCATTTTCTTTATTTTATTAAAAATTGCCCAAAAAATACCGATTAATTATCTGAACATTATTAGTGATAGGCTTCTTGAATATGCATATGTACAAACAGGGCATAAGAATGATAAAATCATAAATACTCTTCCAACAAAACTGCAATATTAGAAGCGAGCACTGTTAGAAAATAAAGATTAACATGAGTTGCTTTTATTCCTGATAAGAAGCAGATTTGGGATCTGCAGTCACTCTTTACAAAGATAAACAAGCTTACTTTTCACACAAGTCCACATCCGTGTTGTTGCTTTCACCTCCACTTTTTGGTTGCATGTAAAAATCATCTCAGCACCTTAGTCTCTTAGGAACCCAAACAATGTTCCTACGATCAAATCTCTCCTATTAGGAAGATTAAAATGCACCAACTCTAATACAGTATTTTCTCTTTACAGAGAATTGTAAAAAGCACCGCGCTATTAGGTTTATGAAGGTTTTTAAGCCATAAGAGGAAGTGCTAGGCATGCTTTAAATCTACATTTCTCTGCAAGCACCATACCCCAGAAAGACAGTCTTACAGTATGTTTATTTCCCACTAAGTCACCCTTCAAAAAGGCACTACAAGTCACACAAAAAGCGCTACACTAATGTTAATGAATAATGTACTAATGCCCAGTTTTAAACATAACATTAGGCCTGACAAGCAGTGGAAATGGTCTTTTAATATCCTTTTATGCCTTTTATAAGTTTGAGGTCACAATTTTAGATTATTAAATATTTACTTAACATGGAGAACTTGCTAATTGAAGCGTTTGTTGTGCAGCTTTTTTCTCGTTTGCCAAAAGTTTCATGCTAAAGGAGATAAAGCGCCATATAGGAGGAAATATCACAACCTGGCAACCCAAATGCTGGCTTGTTCTTACCAGCTTGGCTCGCTGTCTGTGCTTGCTACTTTTGCATGTAGTATGCATACAACTGGGGCGTCGCACTTCACATGTTTTCAACTGTCTTGCTGTACTTGCACCTAGATGGATTAAAATGTACCCTGAAGCAATGCTTGCTTGCAAACGGATTTCTTGCATACCAAGTATGAAAGATTAGGCGTTCTGTAAAGCATTAGTAAATTTTCTAGCATTAATAAGACAAGTAGCAACTTATAAAGCCTTTATAATGGGTGACTTACTGGTGCTATTCCAACTGTTAAATACTTGTCTCCAGACAGAAAACAGCTGGCACCACACTACAGCTGTGATGTCAGTTTGTCACACTGCGTGCCAATCCTTTAACATTAGCACCATCTGAATATTTGGGATAAAAATTCTTTTTCATGTATTTTTGCCCCCACCTACATTCAAACCCCTCCCTCTTCAAATATGGGGCACTGCAGCCAATCTAGCACTGCCATCTGGGCGACAGAGTGAGTAAATTTACCAGCAGTGCTCTGTTACTAAAGCCTCGGATCCGGACAGGCCTCTCGGCACGTACGTCCTCAGTTTCTGGGCTGAGAGTTGAACTCCTGGCAGATGTTGTGGATGATCTTGGGTACAAATTTGTAGAGGTTGTCAAACTCATCCACGAAGAAGGAATGCTCCTTGTCGGGGTCTGTGGCAATGTACTCCAGCTCATCCTGGGCTGCCCAGGCGATGCCGATGGAGTAAGCAATCACACCTAGATCATAAGAAGGGAGAGCAGATTACACACACACACTGTTTTTCACATCAAACAGACAGTAATTGACACCAAACTGTCGACTGACACACAACAGAGAAAACAACTGTTTGCATCATCGATCCTTAACTTCAGCCTTATTTTTCAGATTCTGTTACAGATGATGTCTGACCTTGGCGATGGACCGCCAGTGCCGGCGCCCTGACATCATCATAAGAGCGTCCATCCGTGATGACAATCATGATCTTGCGTTTGTTGGGTTTGGATTTGCTGAAAAGCTGCTCTGCCGCGTAGGTGATGGCAGCACCGGTGCTGGTCCCGCCGCTCCAGTAGTTGATGCGCTTGATGGCGTTCAGCAGCTCGGCTTTGTTGTTGTACTGGCCGAAGGCAAACTCCAGCCTCTGCTCGTAGGTGTACTGCACAGCCCCGACCCGCGTGTCCGTGTCTGAGATCTCGAACTCCCGCGTGATGTTGGCCACAAACTGCAGCACCGTGCGGAAGTTGCCGGTCCCCACGCTGCTGGAGCCGTCTATGACGAAGGCGATGTCGTTGGCGTTGAGGCAGGTTTTGCTGCACACCAGGCGGTCTGTGTCGCACACTCTCTTCACCAGGGGTTGCACGGCTTTCCTCAGGGCAAACCAGCTGTTCACAGGAAGCGAGAAGAAGCCGTTCGTCCGGCACACGGCCTGCGGGACAAAACAACACACCGTGCTTTAAACTGCTTTGATTTCTATCACAAAGCACAGGCACACTTCTGAGACGGCGTGTGTCACCTACCTTGTCAACAAAGTTGGCCTCAACAAGGTTCTGCTTCTCATTGTCGTCGGGACCCTCGATGGTGACGAAGAAGATGTTGATGCCGGACTCGCGTGCGAGTCGAGACGCCTCTTCCACCTTGTCTGTGGGCCAACCGTCCACTAGTATCACAGCCACGTTTGGAGCTCCTCCTCGGTTTCCATTGGCATCACTGAAGTAGTGCTTGTTGATGTAGTGGAGGGCTTTTCCTGTCAAGACACCAGGGGGCAACGGGGAGATTCTTAATGGTTTTATTGTATATGCAAGTCTGGGACAGAAAGCTGAGGAGTATAAAAACAGTCATTTAATCACAAAGCTTAAACTCATCCTTTATGTAAATAATAGGCTGGAATATAAAATGACACAAAATTGACTTTTACACAGAAAATACTGAATGCCATATAAAAACTTTACATAGTAAAGTACATATATTTTGCTTCTCTATGGGATGCATAGCTCAAACTGTGCATAATCACAAAAATGTGGATACCTATCATTTAGTCTATTACAGTCTCGTCGGTGGTCTTAACAATGGCTCTGCTGGAGACTAGAAAGTTTTACAGCCACTCACACTGTTATATGATTAGAGAGCACTTCTGGGCAAACGCAAACAACACTATTTGGATCGGCATGCAAAATTTAGCAAGTCATAAAGGCACATGTGGCAGTGGATGCATGCTGACGCACCAACCAAAGCAGAAAAACCGCAAATGCTCTCTGAAAGCTGCCCCTTAACCGGGCTGCTAAAACCGAGCGCATTTTGGTCAGAGCAGAGGAAAAACACGGCCTACAGGATCAGGACTGTAATTTTGCTAACACTGTCTCGCAGCAAATTTAGATTTAATTCTATACTTGCATGTGAAAATGTGCCTGGCTAGTAAACCATGCGATAATTGCACCCCTTTCCCTTTCACACTTGTGTTTGTAGG